CAAAATTTGCAACAAAATAATATTTTCTATTTCAAACAAAATTGTGAAGTTCCTGTAATTTTTTCCACCCTTGGGTGCAAGCGCAAAATCGCACATTTGTGCACGTTTGTGCATCGCACATTTGTGCACGTTTGTGCATCGCACATTTGTGCACGTTTGTGCAGTCGCACATTTGTGCACATTTGTGCAAACGTAATATGAGCAGCACACTCGTGTGCAAAGAGAATTTTTTGTCGCACAGTGCGGTGCGAGCATAAAATTTTCTCGCACATCTGATTGTGCACATTTTTAAAAATCAGTCACACAGCACAAATGTGTGTGCACGAATCTGTGTGCACAATCATCGCTTTGTGCGATGTGAAATTTAAAATCGCACAACAAATTTGAGTGCGTGCATTTTTTTTCTTAACACCACAAATGTGCGTGTGCATATTTTAAAAATAATTTCCACTCGCACAGTGCAGTGTGCGATTTTGTGCACCACATTCCGAACTCTGGTTGTAACTAAGCCAGAGTATTTAACCCTTAAAATATGACGAAATACTAGTAACATTATTCATCACTTCTACAATATACCATGAACGAGTAATACAATGTTTAAAAGCATCATCAACAAGCGAATCGCATATTTTAAATTAAATAAATGGACTATACTACATACAGACGGTTCTAGAGGGGAAACTACCTTAACGTTAGGGATAGTCCGAGACCGATAGCATAATCTCTACTATGCTATTGGTACCAAAAGAAAATTCGTCGTGTGTTCCGCTGATTTAAGAAAATTTAAGAAAAATTGGAAAATCAAAGAAACAATTTTCTGATTTTACAGATTTTATGGAAGTTAAAATTCAATATCACCTTAAGAAAATATATATATATTTCAGATATATATTTCTGTATAGCAATTAAACTTTTTGATACCACATATATATATATTATTCCTATTAAAAAAAATTTGTCGAATATTCAATTCAAAAAAACTTTGTTAACTTTAAAGTCAATATTTTTTATTACAGAGCTTAGGATTTATCTATTGAAGAATATAGATTTTAACTGAAGTACTGTTTAAATTGTTACCATAAAGCATTTAAAGTGAATCAATTGTTTCCTTTTCGCTCATTTTATGGTATAATGTTATCCAAGTACAATTTTTTGATCCCTCGCAGTATGAACAACAAATCAATTTGCTGTGTTTACGTAAGCTTATATTTCTTTCAAGAAACTGGACCACCGCTGGCACATAAAGCACATAGCATTGAAAGTAAGTCTTTCTGCATTGTGCTCAAGTCTTGTGCATTTACTTAGAGGGATTCAATTACATGTCTATCATTTTGATTTCAATGGCACAAATGAATACATGGAAGAGTAAAGTCAGAAACTCAGTACGGTTTGTTGTCACCGTTGGTGGCTGTATTTACGACAATGTCGGAAAAAATGCATGTTTACTCGTAAATTAATGCTCCTGGTGTCTTGTGGACTCATGTAGCAAATGTGATTGTTATGCCTTTAAATAGTTGACATTTTTCGGTTTCCAAAGAAACCAGACTACGACTACCACCAACAAAGAGGATTGAATGAATGAACAAATACGTTTACTGTAACTTAATTCTTTTCTTCTAGTGTTTGACTTAAGTATGTATATTCGATTTTTTTTTAATAATTTGTTCATATTTTTTTTATAATTTTTTGGACATATTTTTCTTAAGTTTTTGTTTCTATTAAAGACTTGACTTGCATATGAGATGATTCAGCTGCTTCTCCTCACGAACTGGCATGATATTGTATTTGCTTCTATGGAGACACGTGTGACTTACACTTAACTATATTTATCAACAATTAACCCCAGAGTGGTAAATTATCCTTTATTGGTTTATGGAAAACATATGCATAGCTTTTCAAATTATCTAGGAAATGGTTGCTTTATGCTACTGAAAGCTCCACAAAAAGTGTATATTACTTACTTATGTTATGTGTTTTGGAGAATATTTAATGAACAATTTTGTTTTTAATCAATAAAATAATAAAAAGTAATAGTTATATAGTAATACAATTGGTTCTTACATTTCCTCATATTTTTACTTTGACACGAATAATCAAATATACTATTTTTTATCAGATGAACTAATTTCTTACAGCACAGCTAATAAATCCTTTAAACTATTGGAGCAACTCGAATATTTGCAAAATTAAAACGAGCAGTTTAAATGCTCCAACTGCGCGAACAGCTGTTCCGGTCTATGTTTCATACTAGTTTCATTTTATTTTATACAAATATTTTTTTTTTGTTTTCTAATTATATTGTAATATGTCTCAAAAAGAAACAGAGACAATGTACAATATTTTATTTCATGTGATATATATATACATATATATATATATATAAGTATACTCCCTATACTCTACATTTAAGTTTAGCATATCATTCCACTGATTGCTGAGAGTGTTTACTTTTTAATCAGATACAGATAAACGAATTAATATCCAACAGCTTAGCTAACTTGGTCATGTCTTGAGAAAAAATGACATGGCTTCAGCCAAATAGATATTTGAAGGAGAAGTTAAAAGAAAAAGACGTGGAGGTAGACTGTGTCTTCGTTGGAGTGATTAAGTTGAGGGAACGCTATCCACATTTGATGTAGGTATAAGACTAAAGAAGGCACGCACGCAACTGAGGCGCTTGGAGAGATATGTTGTATCAGGCTGAAACCCATTAAAGGGTTGTTATTGGCCACTTAATTAATAAGTAGGAGATTTTTATAGATAACAACAAATTTCTAGATAACAAGCAAAATCCTTATAATATAACGATTATTCATATATGTTGATATTTTTTTTGAACATATGAAAAAATTATTTTAAATTATAACCGTTCGATTTTTAAATTATATAAAAATGATTATAATTAATAATTTTGAAATTTTTTGTATTAATTTTAACAATAAATGAATTTTGTAATTATTGTTCAAACAAAATGAAATAGTTTCAAATTAGTTAATCCCATTTAATAAAAAAAATAAAATTATATAGAAATATTATTTATAAAAAATTTCCGTAGAAAATATTAATATAATATTTTAATATAAATAAATATAAATATTTTTTTCATGTTATAAACAACATTTCTGTTAACAAATAAGCATGTTAAAAAAGTAATAAAGTAATATGTGTGTATATATTTTATTTTTAAACTCCATCTTATGATAAATAAATTCAATTTACTTTTATTCTATTATAAAGTTAACAGAAAAGCTCTTTAATTTATGATCACTTAAAAGAACTCAGTGTAGGACTTATGGTATTGAGTCAAATAAATTAAGTCTTTTGTACTAGTACGCACTGTTAAGTACATTACTTGCTGACATATCTACTACGTGGGCGCATTTCTTTTAATTTTATCGTTTCTTTCACACAACACAGTGTTGATGATGTTAATTTGCGATTAAGCTCTGAACTTTGCTTAAATCTTGACGCTTGCAACAATTTATTAGCTACACTTCTTTACTCGTATATTGTTTAATTTATAATATAATAACATTTGAATTACAATTCAACTAAAAAAAATTGGTAGCAATATTTGCGTTTTGTAGTTGATGTACTCAAAATAATATGCTTTAACCACTTACCATTTAAATTGACCTGATTATTTTCTTAGAGAAATTTCAGCTCATGAGAACTAACATATAATATGGTTGTGTGTGTGTGTGTGTGTGAAATCTACTACCAATCTACCTACACCATTGCTCATAGTTTCTGGTTTAGACATATCTAGCCCCCTAGGTACTAAGCTTACTTCTTATATCTTTCTGCCCTGATTATTAAAATGAGGTTTCCACATTGCTGTGAAAATCTTCTCCATTCATTCCTAAGAGGTGATTTTAATGCGTTAAACTATCACACTGGCTGAAAAGGAAGGATTTCATATTTCCCACACATAATTTCTATTAACATCTTTAAAGATATACTGTAAACTTAACAATTTTTGTAAGGACTACTCTAAATAAAGTGTCAATTTTTGCAAGGACTACTCTAAATAAAGTTTTTATTATAGTTATTGCCTTAACGAACATCTTCATCCTTTAACTTTAACATCGATTAACTAATCAGATTGCTCAGAAAATTGATTCATAAACAGAAATGCACATGTAATGCGTGTAATAACATTTTTGTAACATTTTTTTCCACTGCAAAACATCTATTAATCTTACCCAAATACAATTCTGCTAATGACTTCAATATGTTATATGTCTTTGCTTCTGCAATAATTTTATATATTCTATTTCTATTTAACAATAAGCAAAAATAATGTATTCTATATTACTATATTCTATATATTCTAATATATATTCTATATATTCTAATATATATTCTATATATTTATAGAATATTTTATTTTTCCAACAAGTTTCACATAGGTAAACTTTTCACCAGCTTCTTTTATATTCAAGACAAACAAATGAGTAAGCAGTATTGTCCACTGTTATCGTACTGTTAAGTTAATATATTATTTTCGCTTAAATTGTATCAAAGTTCAAGCCGAGTTGAGTACATGCTTCTTCTTAAACTTTGACTCAATGCGTAATGAATTAATATGCAATGAATCAGTATCGACTCGGCGTGGACTCAATGCAGTTATTGGCGTAAATTAGTGAATGAAATAAATGTGATAGTGAAAAGTTTTTTGTTTTTAGGAAATAATTATATTTTAAAACAGTTTTTAAGTGATCAGTTATTAGTAATATTTGCTTCCAAAATATCATTTACCTAAAATAAATATAAATTATTGAAATTACAGTTTAATGTGAATTTGTGTAATCCGTTAGCGCAAGCCGAGCGTGGTTTTTAATATCAGTAGTATTAATGGTAAATGCTCTTTCTGTGTAAATTAAAGTTGTTATTTATTCACGTGCATTAATTAATATCATTTTATATAAGTTGCAAATCGAATTAAATAATTATTTAATAAATAATAATAAGTTTATTTAAAAAAGTGTTCGAAAAATATTAAAAAAAACAACAATTACTGCTAACCAGCATAAAATAGAAAGAAATTTGATGGAATGAAATGGAAACGAACTGCAGTTATTGGAAATACCGTAAATGTAAGTACATAATGATAAATAGTTGTTAGTGTTAAATAGTTGTTGTTAGTGTTTTCAATATAAACATTTATCAAAGACAATATTGATTTTTAGCTATGAAAAGGGCTAATCTGACAATACACACTTAAGTGTTGATTTGCCACTAAAATGACATTTGCCGCTTAATAATCAGCACTTAGTTGAATTTCAAGTAACACTTTAGTGTCCATCGACGAACAATTCAGGATTGCTATATTACTTAACAATAATATCTCGATATTAAAGGAAAATTGTAATTTCAAGCAAAAAACAATATTATTTATTTTATTATACATATTATAAAATTTTAAATTTTTTTAATTATTATTATTTTCATTACAATTTTTCATGATTAAAATCATCTCATTTATATAATGAAAAAATTTTATTCCATTCTCAACTTAAGTGTGCCTTGTAAAAGAGTTTAATAGGGATATTGCAATCCATCAACTAGTTTAAAATAAATGATTCTAATGTAATTAATATGGTTAAAGAGAACGTTTATGTACACATATGTATGAATAAATAATTTGAATAAAATAATTAGAATTAATAAAATGATTTATTATTATCCTTCGACAAGAATTCTATTTCAAATAGAAAAAAGAAAACCGTATAACCCCATAAAAAATTTCTATATTCGAAAATCTTTTAATTTATAATAACATTAGTTCTTGAGCTGACTATCATTAGTGACCTTTTAAAATCATCTATTAATTTAATTGGCCGTACATAATTTTGGAAATTCTATAATATGTAACCTTTTTAACCGAGTGCCTGTTTATAGTCCTCTTTGTCAGAGAGCAAATTCGATTAAAAAGTCCAGATTTATGGCATGAAAACTCATTGATTTTGCACCTTTATAATGCACCATCTCTCAAAACAGTCATTCTGAATAAATCTTTTGTCAGAAACTTAACAAATCTTATCGAATATCTACCGTACTCTTTTGATATAGCTGCAACTTTCTTTCTCCAAAACTCAAATTACCAGTTCGAGCTATCCATTTTCAGTAGATAGATTGCCTAAACAAGAAAATACGGCGAGTATTTAAGGCGATCCAAGAAATTCGTTAAAGAGAATTTTTTTGATAATTGCCATGCTTTTTGTTTTTTCAGTTCTTATCCTTAAATCGACAGTCTCTGATTTTTCGTTTATGGTGGATATCTTCTGCTGTAATTCAGATTTGTGCCTTAACAGCAGTACATCATCCCCATTGGATACCCCTAATATTGTTTAATGCTCTGCTGAGGATATCATCTACTGCGAGATTAAAAAGCAATTTTTTTGATAATTGTCATGTTTTTTGTTTTTTCAGTACTTATCCTTAAACTGACAGTTTCTGATTTTTCGTTTATGGTGGATATTATCTGAGGTAATTCAGCAGATTTGTGCCTTAACAGCAGAACATCATCCTCATTGTTTAATGCGCTCCTGAGGATATTATCTAGCAATAGCAATAGTGACAATATACACCATTGTCGTCAATCTGTTTAGATGTCGAAAGGCTCAAAGAGGTGGTTTTTGTGATTACGCGACACTTACCCAATGAACTATTTGAAATGAATGAATATTGAAAACAGTTTGTAACCTAAAAAATTGTTTATCTCTCAACAAGTTGGGATCCAAAGTTTCAATTGATTAGCTCAAAAACTAAAAGAATAGTTTGGGATAAAATAGACAAGCGAATAGGTCTAAATGAGGTCAGCTCATGGAGCAGATCGAGAATATTTATTGCTATTTATACTTTATGGGGTCTTCGTTATAACCTTCAATTATAATATAAAAATGTTGCCAAAACTAATATACCTTTTATTCAATTTATTGTGTATATGGTATAAACACTTATCACGGTATTAATGCAAGAACTATGTAGTAATGTTATTCCGTACTCGTACATAATGTGATGTTGTTCATAGTTAACCATTTAATAATGTGTACCTCATACTTCAATAATCAATTTCATTGATGGTCTCACTGAAGAAAAGCATGTGAAGTATACAATAAGTACAATAAGAAATGCTTTTCTCTGAAACGCTAAAGTATCGTAAATGTCTAGAACCAAATTTGGTAAACATGGCGCCGTTTAATAATATTGCCGCACCTCCATTTTCATTAGAGCTGATACGATTATGACAGACAGCATCATTTCGTGCTCGTGCTACATTCAATTGAATTCATTACTTGTCACAAATGGAAAAGATTCTGCACGCACTTTTTTGGGAAACAGAATGCGGCATATCAAACAACGGTAACATTTTGTTGGAACACTGGCACGAGCCTTTTGCGGCAAGATTTGCGGCCGGTGTTGAGGCTGAGGCCGGCGCTGTGCTCGTTGTTAATGGAGTCTATTCGCTTTTCAATCACGTTCCAATTATAATTTATTTCTTGGTACTTGCACAACTCATAAATGAATTCTTTATTCAATTAAATAAATGTTTAGATGGTTTGTGCGTACATGAAACTACTCAAGTACAATTTAGCTATTGAATCTAAATAAATTTTTCCAGGAACATTTCCTAGTTAGTTTATTCTTCTCCACCTATTCTATTTAATGATTTAACTTTTTTCCTTTACAAAAGAATTTTGAATTCAGTAGTTGATGTAGTTGGTGAAATAAAAATTTTCTATTACTCTCTGGGGTACTACAATACTCAATGAGCTTTGACATAATTCCTTAAGGAATTTAAGTTGTACAATAATTCCTGAAAGTGGGAAAAAATTGGCTGTGAGTTATACTGTCATATATATATCATATATATATATATTATATATTATTATATATTTATGTTATTATTATTATATATTATATTAAAATTTATTTTAACCGAGCTTAAGGTCGGTTTTTGTCAACACACAAACCTCCTGAGCATCTTAGGACCCCTTCACTGTTGACAATATAAATTCGAAGTTGTGAAACACTTTGTTTATTAAGGAACCAGCTTAAACACCAAAAATAACGTCAGCCTAGAGATTCAACGAAGAATCACTATTGTCAACAAATGTTACTTCGGGCTAAGTATGCAATTGACAAATAAAGCACTCTCTCGACAAACAAAAATCATGCTCTACAAATCTCTTATCATACCTGTCCTGCTGTAGGTACGATGCAGAAGCTTGGACAATTACCAACAGTGATGAGAAGGTGTTAGGAGCATTCGAGAGAAATACCTTTCGGAAAATCCATAGTGACTTACGTGTTGGCGACGAGTATCGAATTAGATGGAACGATGTGCTGTATGAGCTATACCGCGACATTGACATAATTAAGCACATAAAAATTCAACGGCTTAATTCGGTACCCGCAGGTGGAAAACGCAGTAGAGTACGTCCGCATCTTCGGTGGAAGGGCCAGGTGATCAATGATTTGGAGGCGCTCAGTACTATCAACTGGCGACCGCAAGCAACTGTTCGGGCTAATTGACGGAGGCTACTCGACACGGCCTAGGACAACTCACGTCTGTAAAGGGCAACTAAGTATGTAAGTAAGTAAGTAGGGTTGGTTATTTAACACTTTATTTTTGTATAAAAAATATTTTTAAAAGCAAATTAAAAATGTAAACAAAAAGTAGTAAATGTTACCTATTAACAATTTAAGTGTTAAATAACGGCCCTAGAGCTCGGTTAAATTAAAATATTGGATAATATTTTAAAATGAATTTCAGTAGGTTATCTAAGATAAAAATATTTTATAGTTTATAATAATAAGATCAGGTGTTGTGAAGTTTGGAATATACCTGAGTTACTGACCCCAACTTCTGTTAATCAGATAAGTTCTGAAAATCTACTCATCTTAAGTGTGTTAAAATACGACTAATCGGTATTGAAACAAGAAAGTGTAATTTTGGATATTTGTTCCAGTTTTCAGTACGTAAAATTTAAATATCTTAACTTTTATTTATTAAGCTATTAAAAAAGATAAGTTATTAAAACTGTCTTTTTAATATTTATTTTGTATAACGAATGAAATAATAAAATTTAATTGCACTTTGCAGATCATGCATACGTCTTTAGTATGTCAGACTACAATTCATTTCTACTAAAACATATTTACATATATACAATATGTATTCGTAATATAAATGAATAGCATTAGTGCATACTATATGCATAGGTTTTTCAGTTTTAGTACTGTTCGATGTTTTCATTGATTTCTTCAGGCAAAATATAATCATTTTTGTTTTTCTTCATTATTTAGAAACGCCTCTACATTAACTGTCAATCAACAAAGTGACAGTAAAAAAGTTATAAATAAGTGCAAAAACATTAGTTGCATATTAGATTTTTATGAACCCCACTTCACATAGTAATTCTCTGCTGTTGCTACATTGAATATTTCACCAACGAAGCAACCGGTTCACTGGGCCACTACTCCATATCGTTGATCTATGCTTCCATATTAGAAACTAACTTGCATATGTTTTTAAAAACTATTGATTCTTGGCAAAGCAATTAATGTCGTTTCACTAGGAAAATATTTACCTAAACTTGCAAATAAATATCATATCAACAACAAACTACACTATTAAAAATTAGTCCAAGTATAAGATTAACTAATGATTTGCATACATACATTGTATATTTAATATTATGTATAAAAAAATTAAAATTATAGTTCTAATAATATATTGCTATTCATTTGATTTGCAAACTTCTTGAAATAAAAATTGTAGATGTGCTTAAAATTTTAAATTTCATTCTACATTACTCAGCAACAAGAGTTGTGGAATCTACAAGCACTATATAAGTTAAGTTAGGTTAGGTTATACTGGCCATCCAAAGAGGATCCCCTTAGCCCTATTGACCCATTGGCTACCATATAATGAAAAACCTGGGATTTAAAACCACCAAAAACCTTGGCGAAGCTTAGTTCATTTTTAGACAAGATATAGCTTACTTAATGGCGATTCATTCCGCATGAAAAACACTACAATAATCCGAAAGCCTATAGAAAGGAAGATTTTTTCAGTCCCTCTGCGAAA